AAAAGGGCATCACTGAGTGAGGATGCCTCATTCGAGAAGATGGCTCGCTGAGGAAGATCTGGCTCGACAGGAAGGCGAAGACGCAACGTCGAGGCGAACAACAAGCATGGACCATCGACTCGGATCACCGGCTCTGAGGAAGACGAAGACGTCGAAACGTTAGCCGAAAATAAATATATTTATCAACCTCGTGCAAGCTTATCAAGAAAGAATACATATTGATTTGTCACACCGAGGTTTAGGGAAGGTCGGTTTCGAAATATTTTTTGTTTTTCATAAATCCTACGCTACCAGAATTCAGTACGTAATTGAGTACAGAAGTCCACAGATTTTTAAGTTGCACTCGAATCGAAACAGTAATCCGACTGTTTTTGTGGATGACTGTTACAAGGTGAGGTAACAAATGAAGAGGAAAGCCCTGGAGATGGTACAAAACTGGAACACGGTACAAGTAAGTAAGTAAGCAAGTAACCAAGTTAGTTATTTCAGAAGTTGACAAGAAGAACGTTAATGAAAAGCTTTAAAAATTTATTGTTTATATGAAAAGAGCGATAACAGTTGGCAGTCAGAAGGAACTGAAAGACAGTTAATTAGCCCTATTAAGGAAAAGGTGCATTAAATTGATTAGGCCATCACTTTACAGCCAGGTGAGGCCGATAACAACAGAGATTAACCACAAGCGGTCTTCTGCAACGATGAGGTAGCGATACGGCCAGCGGCGGCTTATAAGGAACGCACTTATAGTCCGCTGGACCATCAACTATTCGCTCGACTTCTCTTATACTGCAGATAAGAGCCTCAGCACGGGATTCTAGTGCTAGAAAATCCCATAAATTTACTTCTATGAAATGAACTGAGCTTGCACATTGTATACTGCATATGACCAGAGCGTGATGATCTATCAAGCCCATCAGACATGATAACATGATTTGCAATGTGCCTGGTGTTTCAGTGGATTTTGACATTTCGGAACTCAGAAGAAGTTATTCTAATATACTGCCAATTCAATCAACTAAGCAGTTTCGTTATCTTAGAGTAAAATCCTAGACATCGAAATCCGTGAAAATTTCTTGTTATTGACTTGATTTCTTGAAATCGTTTAAGAAGTGCACCAGTGAGAAATTCTTAAAAGTTCAAATCATAATGCAAAAAATTGAAACAGGTAGATAGTACCTTAGACTGAAATTTATGCTATAGGTGATACTGATCATGTCAGTAGAGGTGGATAGTGGTGTAATGTGATGATGGGTCACTTATACGATTAATGTGGCAGGAGCAGGTTCATAGCACTCGATGCATGTACATACCTCTGCACGCCTCTCATCACGAGCCCGACGTCTGACGTGTTACCGATACCAGCATCTAAGAAAAGATTTTTTCCTCGTCTTTTATCGATGATCCATATATCATTCTTTCTATTATTTTTCACTATGCTATTACCATAAGGCAGTATTGGGGATAATATTGTTAGAAACCAGGTAGTTAGTTCAGTATTTTAACAGAGTTATTGATATAAAGTGAAAAATATGTGGCAGTGCTCTTAGTGGTTCTTAGCTAGCACAAATACGACGACAACATTACCATAGTAATTAATATCTTAGTATTTCAACAAACTGATTTTTTCCCGCTCAGAAACTCCCGGTGCGCTGGAATTTCGAACTGTAGAGCATTTATGATCATTAAAATAACCTCTTCTCATCGTTATCTCGACGATCCGTTAAGAAGTCGTTAAAAGAGATTTTAGTACAGAAATCCACGTCAATCAATAAGAAACAAGTTTTGAATCAATCAACATCATAGCGTAGATACGCAATGCTTTTCTCGAACTGTGTACGAAATTACTTACTCTGTTGCGTATTCCCTGACAAAAATTTTGATCCAAGCGTATTTAACGTAAGTAAGAAAGATTGAATTGCTAGTTATTCCATTGTATTGTACAAATCTATTGATATAAAGCTACTGCAGAATGTTTCGTTTGTTTAGTTCATGCGCTCGAGGTCGTGTCTGTCTAAGTCTTATAGAATTCAAATCAATACTGTCATAAATTCGTAACGTTTGAGAAAGTGGTACTAATAGCTTAACCTATCTTTCCCAAGACCGACTTTCTGTTAACCTCGGCACTGATTGATAATTCGATGTTTTTCTTCAACAAGCAGACACGAGGTTGTTATTATAGAATTTATTAGGATACAAGAGCTGACGTTTCGGCGGTTTCGCCCTCTTCAGAGCCGTTTATTTGTTGTAAGTATTTCAGTTAGTTGGTGGATAGCGGCCGCACAGAGTAATACGTGGGCGATAGCGAGTTACTCTGTGCGGCAACTATCCATGAACTAACTTAAATACTTACAACAAATAAACGGTAGGTGCTCAAATGAAGCTGTTTCTTATGCGAATACAAATTTATTTGTTAAGTTTTTACCTGCTGGGGTTATGAAAGTGTTTGGCTGGGTAGATCGCATCTCAATTTGACCTTTCCAGGCTCTGAAGAAGGCGAAACCGCTGAAACGTCAGCTATTGTATCCTAATAAATCCTATAATAACAACCTCGTGTCTGCTTACTGGAGAAAAACAACGAATTAATCTATCATTGACAACTGCCTGTGAAACGACAGCTTTCCATGATATTTCATACATGTTAATGTACATTCGTGCGAGAAGTATGTCTATCTTACCTCCTTTAAGCTTTGTCTCACTTATATGAATATTTAAAAGACCCCTGTCCTCCGAAGCACTGTGCAGACTAAAGTAGTGCAAGTAATTAAAATTTGATTGCTTTTATCATGATTGAGAAACATGCTCATGCTTTTCCTGGATTCCTAAGAGCAGTGATCCCTCTCCTAGCCAGGTCGCGATTATCACTTCTCCTTTAGTAGCTATGTTGTTGCCAGGATGGAAGTGATTTCCAGTAATGTTTTACTCTTAGCTGTATCTCCGGAGAGAAGTGTCCAACTCTCCTCAGTTGGAAACACAGTGTTTTCTGTTACTTTGAGTAATTAAAAAAACGACGAAGAACTGCTGTTGATCAACGTTCAGCTTGATGTGTTGTGTTTTCTGTTCTCGAAGGGATTCATATTTTATGAAATTCAATACTCTAAGAAAGCGGGATGGGTAACACAGCTGTAGTGATGCCGATGAATACGAGCATGATTCTAGAACGATCCCGTTACGGTCTCACCATGTCTTTCACACCACAGAAGTCAGGAATCTCGTATCAAACGCGTCTGGGAAAGTTCACTTTCTGGAACCTATTTGAGAGCGCTCTAGCCACCCAGCTATTTCACTACTCTAGTGGGAGTGGACTCGACCAGCATTCGTCAACGGTATTCGTGAAAGGGAAATCCTCCAGCAGAAGCCGAAGCCACGTGTAGAAGTTGGAAGACCATCATGGATGATGGACGCGAGGAAAAGAATGAAATCCGAGAAGTACTGGTGTGAAGTAGATGTGAAACACGGGTTTTCTAAAAGATTGCTTTAAGAATCCAAAGTTTAAAAAGCATTATTGAAATATTCCACAGAGTTCATGAAACAGTGTAGAAATCTAAGAAACTCTAAAGGTAACTTAGCCTCATCCAAAATGTTTTTTTTTATAGATGTTTGCTATTTCACCCAGTTTTCTTTACCTAAGTCACTAATTCTTAAGGAAAATTACGTGAAATATTTGGCATGCTTTGGTGCGTTCCATGTGAGATACGTCGCACCGACGTTAATCGTCATTCGAACGCTCATCCTCTTTATTCTTCTCATATGCATGATGATAACAACATCGAATGACCTTCTGAGAATATGTGAGTTGTATTTCATATTGAAAGAGACACGTTTTGTAGTTTTGTACTTTTAAGGTTTCGGTTTGAAATCTGCTTCAGATTTCTCTCATTTCTCCTCAGAAACATTGTTCGTTTTGAAAGATTTCCAGTTAGTGAAATCAATATGGAAAATTTAAGTTAGGAAAGTATTGAAAAATGCTCGACTGGTATGTGTTTCTTTCGAATTTCAAGTACCATAAAAGATGTTTCGAGAGTTTGAGACAACCTGTGCGTAGTTCTCCTTGCAGCGAACGTTAATAAACTGCCACCATTTTTATCAATACAAGTTCTATTATTGTTATTATTATCATCTGAGTGTTTGTCTTTATAGACAACCAACATTGTTTTTACATTATTAGTGAAATGTGGGGCAGAGTGATAGACTGTCACTCGTCCATAGCACTTTAGATTTGTTCCATTACGCCAAGTCACCAACGAGCAAACTGTCGATAGCTTTTGCATAGGCTTTTCGTTAAAAAAAAATAATGCACAAAGCTTCTTGATGATGAAACAGTTAGCGCTGATCTGCCTTTTTATATGCATCATGCATTTGATTACATTCGTAGCATCGCAGTGATGACTGAATGCACGATCAATAAAATAACTTGTGGGAGGCCAAGAGAATCTATTAAGTCAGTGTTTTTTGGCCTTCTACGCAAGTTCGTATAAAACTTCCTGATCCCAAGGAGGGATGGAGAGCCTCATTAAACAAGTATGCGGAGCCAAGCCATATTTCCCACAGAGTAGCTCAAACAAATGTGCCATTGCGCTTTGGAAGAACTACTTATGAACAGAACATTTAGGTGCTTGTTCACTACATCAAAATTTGTCGGACCACGTGCCACTTTATTTCGTTCGCTTTCATCACCATGTTCATTGGCAATGCTTCAGAAAGTGCTAAAAGTCTCAAATCCATTTTTGATGAAGACCATTAGTTTTCCAAACAATTTTCGGAATCTTGTAGCAGCTCAGAAAAAACTGACAACGGTTTTCGATATTGATGAATAGGCAATACCATCAAAAGACTAGGTAATTAATATTTAATCGAAGGATCTTTCAACTGTGATGTTCTTTAATATTTTGCGAATGGTGGTGGCATCAAAACTTTTATCATGCGCCTGCTTTTCTTTCTATGAAGATAATGATGATGATCTTAGCAGCTATCACAAGAATTTTTCTTTTCTTCCGCTTAAGAAGATGACCAAGATCATCTACAAATATCTTACGGCAACAAGTTCCTATGTGGAAGTTAGCCAATGTGCGGAATGGATCATCTCTTTATGCGAAATCGATGACTTCTCAATGCAAGGTAGCCGGCGAAAATCTTGAAAAGACGTTTGTACTATCGAAACGTAGGTAGCCACCCATCATGGCGTCATATAACCGTTACCTACAACTTATCGGCGTTTTGGTGTTGACATTGTCATAAATCTTAACCCTTTTATTTACTGCCTTTTTCTTTTTAATGGCAGGGTATGTTGCGAAATATAAGTTATATTGTCATAATTGCTCACATTTGTGCCGTCATGTCGTTCAGTAGGTGACTGAAATATCGCGTGAATGTAGACATCTTCGGAAGCCTATCTACCACTTTTTCTTTCCTTAGCAGCGTAAGCAACAGCATGGAAACTAACTACAATGATACTGAGATATTTACAAAACTCGGAATCGCAGGTGTGTGCGCTGGCGATCGAACCCGTTACTACCCTTTCCGGAGACTAACGTGTTCTCCTCCACACTATGCGAGTCTTTCGTTCCGCCTTTCTCTCAGCCGTGTTATTGACCTACAGGTGCTATCAGCATGCCCCGTCAGCGGAATTGATCTGAGGAGCACAAATTGGCATTCACCCCAGTTAAGTTGAAGCTTCGTCTGTAGAGATAATATGGAAAATATTTCACATTGGTAGTCGGCTTCAACTCAAGGCCATCGCACGTATAGGCCCATTCAGCTCATACGCGTAATGCACCTGTTCAACACCAAAGGCCGTCATGGAATTCCAGAGAGAGTTTGTGGAACCCCCGTTCATTAACATTCATAAAGGAGGACAAAATGTGGATGATGAATGCGACAAAACAAATTGAATGAAAGAAGGCTGGGATCAACGCAATATGTGATAGCTGTCGTGTCTCTGTTAAAGTAATAAGGCCGCAGGTTATTTTTTCAATTGCATGGTATACACACACATGAAAGCCATCGATCTGTGCAACTGGAAACCTGTCGACTACACTGTGACCGTAAAAGCGTAAAATTGGCGTTTGGCGTTGATAAGTCCCTAGTGAACAGGCTTGCATTCGGCTTCATTAAGCATCACGATGATGCATATCTAGCCTTTACAATAACTCGTAGTGTCTCATCGATGTACAAGGTCATGATGGCTACCTCTATTGACAAGTCGGGCACCACTTTGGGAACCTTGAGGGGAGGAAGGGTTGGCGAGCCTGGAGTGCGAAACCGAGCGAAGGACCATGTTTGTATTGCTTGGCCGTTCTTCCCTCGCGCTATACGTCCTTCTAAGACGGTATTGATGCATTCGCCAATGTGAAATGTGCCGAATTCCCTCGAATGTTTCCAGTCTGTTAGAGTGGTTCCTTAAAGTTTAAGCAACACTCGAACTATACCAGGTCAGAGCACCAAGATTCTCTAGTAGCATTTATGGCTACTTTCTGGTGAAGAAGAATCCAATACCTTAGACTGCTTATGATTCACTACATTTACAAGAGCGTAGAGCGCCTTTTTTCCCGAAGAGCTTCAAACATAATGGAATTGGACGGTTTGCAAAAAACAAAGATGGGCAATGTTCATGAAGAATGGAAATTTTAGCAAAAAAAACAAACACTACATACAAGAGGTGGGGTTCTCATCAATTCCACTTATCATTCCAATATACTAAAGCACATCAATATGGATAAACGAACCGTCAGCGGAGTTCCTTATAGGGTTCGACCTTTCAAAACGTGCTCAGATAATCGAGAAATGCAGAATTGTGAAGTGCATGTGGAAAAGAAATTTTGTTGAGAACAACAATGCACCGGAAAAGGAAGTTTAAAAAACACATAGGACAAGCGCATGGGAAGCATTCAAACCGCGCCGAAATGCGATAGAATCATCGACCACAAAAAATGGCTAAGGAATAAAACTTTTGAGATGTTAATCTACAACAGAGCTAATAATTCACTTTTTAGGCGGTTTGTTCTGCTTCTGTGCGGCCATGGCAAGTAATGTTTCTCTACTTGCCGGAATGTACTACAAAAGGTACGTAAAGCATTCACACGGTAAGCCCCATGTCGTTTTCGTGCGGTATGTCGAAAATATTCAGCATTTACTTAGCGTTCCAATCGGATAATTAGTTAATTGTTAGAAATATGAATATGAAAATAGTTAGTACATTTGAAAGCGCTCAATAGAGTGTGCAAAGAATGCTTATCGATCGGCGTTTAAGGCCGCTAATTTACCGAGAGGTCAAAACCGTTTAGCCGGTAATTATTTAATTTGTTAACACTACTTAAATACAGGGTAGTGTCTATTTATTTATTAAGTTATTTGTCTTGTAGGTGCACTTTCTTACTACCGTATTTCTTCATAGCGATGTTATTTATTATTTCGTTGGTTCTTCATCTGTTTATTAGTATACTAAATACAGCGAACACAAAAGATACACTTCAGCCTGGAACCCTGCTTAAAAATTTGACAGTGGTGAGTGAAAGGATGAAGGGCGAAAGAATTATTGGTTTCCCATCTTCCTTATTGGACTGAATTTCTTTGAAAGTGAAGCTGTTAGTAGTAGAGATTTTAGATCTTAACTCCATACCAGAGAAACATTGTGTTGATATCGATCACTGGTTTCTGTTTAGTTTGGAATTCTCTGTTTCGAAGGCTATACAATATTGAGTGTTTGGCGTGTTTTTGTCTACATTTGTGATGCGCGAATGGATCATGATGTGAAAAGGTTAGAAAAGTAAGCGAAAACTAATATCTGATTTACCGAACTCTTTTAATAATTGAATTACTTTCTTTTTTACTATTTTAGCATGTTTAGAGCAAAAATTGCCGCAAAACGACTTCAGCGGCTTGGTCGACGAACAGAAGGTGAACTCATAGCAGTTATAATTGGTGGAGACTCCGAAGGATAACATGATGATCCCCGGACAGCCTGAAGGCAAATCGTTCAGAATCGATGTCTGGACAAAACCCGCAATTCGCTAAATGGTCTATAGATCCTTTTAGGAAAACAAGTCTTTCCAGATATTGCTTTTTCTCTCGATTTTAACCGGTTTCTTTTTACCCTTTTGTTGTACTGTTGATTTTTTTAACACAAATATCCAGAAATCTTAGGAGCGCAAAATTCTGCCACTTTACTGTGATTCGACAAACAAAGACCATCTGAAACTTTCCTCACAAACATATTTTACTGTTGATACTGTAAAGCTGGATGTTGTGAAGTTGCCGACTTATGAAAAATAGACGAGCAGAATCATGACAATAAAATAAGATAAAAAAAGCCAAGTAGCAAAAAATTTATAATACTGAAGAGCCACTGCATTGGCATTTTTATTAATCGCATTTCATGTGGTGATAAAAATGGAAGGCTCTCTCTCGAACTACCATCAATCACATGTCTTGTGGCAGCGGTCGATGCACCTAACATTCTAGTGGTCAACAGGCCACCCTTTTTAGTAGTTCCATGGTGGAATAATGGGAGAATATCAAACAGATAGTGTGGTGACTAATTAGTTGATCATTCGTTATTGTGTGCATGTTCTGCTCTCGAAAATGCAGCGTCGTGATATCCACTATTTGAATGTCTTGTATTTATGGAGGTATTCACCACTTAACGATTGGGAAGCTGTAGGTGAAAGTCGATAAGTAAAAATTTTAGTTTTAAAGTACTACTGTTAATCTGAAAGTTGCTGTTGCTAGATGATTCCACAACGCTGGATTATGAGTGAGAATGCCAGACGTCGGCTTATTCCTTTGAATGAAGTTACTCACGTTGCTAAGCGGTTTGTTTGAACCTGCTCGCTTTTTCAACGCTCTTCTTGTTTATTGTTGTCTGCGTTGTGCATTTTCCAAATGTTCGTAATTAAACTTTTATTTGTATCAGACGAAAACAGAACGCGATCAGTGAATGTTTACGTCGTGCATACGAGATAGAAGCAATCCACAGTTGCAGTAAGGGGAGAACAAGTCAAGATAAGTTATCTAAATAAGTAGGAAAGACATTCAATGTGATTGAGAAATTCCCCAAAAACACTCGTTTTCGCGGTCATGTCAACAGGAAGTTGTTGATGGTGACTTTAGCAGTGATAGCAGTATTAGTGTCATCCAGCTCCAACTTCCCATTGAGTGAGAAACCTATGTAAGCTTCTTACAACTCCACTCTCCGACGTTTCGTTTGCGCATAATCATGATTAATCGTATTGCCTCGACATAGTCGTTTGCCTTTGTTAGTTACCTTCGTAATACTTGAATGTCTTATCATCACGAATCTTTTACGCCCAGGCAAAATTTTCGATTTGCAGGTTTCCATTTTGCTGATTATTTGATGGCTTGGCAAAATATTCTTGGCAAAAACTATCATTGTTTTCTTTTCTATTATTTACATTACTTATATGACTTTAGTTGGCGTATTATGTGGGTCCCAGGAATTCTTTAATTCGTCGCGTCCTTTTATGTACCTCTTTCATTCTTAATAAGCTGCTTGAATTTGGACGCAGGTCAGCTGATAGTTGACCACTTTCTCTCCTTCATCATTGCTGTTCAATGCGATTCAAGCAGTTCTTTCCTGGATTACTAAAACAACTCTGCTAAAGCCGCTCTGGTTTTCAATAGTGGTAGTCAATAATTTTTCTGTAGATTGGAGGGAGCTTTGGAAGGCTTGACTGGCACCGAGCTGTGTCAAAACACTAATTGTGTGCATATTGCAAAACGCTTGAATCCTTATTATTGTTGTCGCATCATTGTTAATGTCGAGTGAATCCTATCACCCGGCGCCGCCAATTGTTATCTTACTGTATGAATGTCACGTGTTCTTAGATCTCCACCGATGTAATGCTGCTATGTGTTCGTTTTTTTAAGCAGGATCTCCCATATTGAGGAGTTCAACATGATGCTTGAAGCTACCTTTTCAGCGAGGGTAATAGGAAAATAAAAGAGTTCATTCTAAGCGTGTTTGGTGATGGGCAGCTATTTGTCTGAAAGTGAAACCATACTCATGCCAGGCTAAATCTGCTTTTTACTGAAGTTCTACTAAATGCGGCTTATTTTCTGGTCTTTTGTGCTGCATATAGTTATTGAGCTTTACAGGCAAAAATTGCCGTTAAAGCAACGCATGAAAGAATTTTGTGTTGTAATCCTTCGCTAATTTCGAGTGTTTCTCGCTGTTCATGGCGCTTCAAATTGAAATGCTGATTAGGAAGGAAAAGATAGCAGTGCCAATCATTGGTAATGAGTACTACTAGTTCCCTAAAAGATTAATCGTACGCTGTTCAAATGCGCATCATTACTTTCGTTCCTTGTAAGACCACACTAAAAAACTGGTCAAAGATGTAGAATAATATAACAAATCGGACTCGAAAGTAAATGTATATCTGCATAAGCACTCAGCTTTTCTTCTACAGAAACGGCGTTCAGATCACCTCCGAATTTGCTAGCGTGCGAAATGAATCTAACATCTTACCCGCTTTCGGGTTCTTGAAATCTGGTGACACATGAGCGATAACATTCTACTTCACTTTCCTTGAACCTCGGTGTGACTAATCAATATGTATTCTTTCTTGATAAGCTTACGCGAAGTTGATAAATATATTTATTTTCGGCTAACGTTTCGACGTCTTCGTCTTCCTCAGAGGCGATGATCCGAGTCGATAGTACACGCTTGTTATTCGTCTCGACGTGGCAGCTTCGCTTTTGTGTCGAGTCAGGTCTTCCTCAGCGAGCCATCTCCCCGAATGAGGCATCTTCACTCGGTGCTGCTCTTTTATGCAGGTTGCTGATGGTCGATAGCTGTGATTGCCCTGTGATAGTGTGACAGTAACTTGTTTTTCCCGGACAATCAAACCTGCAGAAGCCGGTGTTATTATCAAATAGCACAAAGCGTAGTAATAACAGCTTAGACCATCGACTCGGATCATCGGCTCTGAGCAAGACGAAGGCGTCGAAACGTTAGCCGAAAATAAATATATTGACCAACCTCGTGTAAGCTTATCAAGAAAGAATACATATTCTACTTCACTTTTCATTTTCTCTCCACTTTTTCCTTAGACGACTTCGTTCCTAAGTCTGGTCTATTTTCAGAATTTTTAGTTCTTACAAAGTTTTTTAGATCATAAAAGGTAAATTGGAAGAGCAGTTTTACCTCTATTGAAACGTAAAAGATAAAGGTAATGTAAATTTTATGCGTTTATACGTTAAACAGTGCCGTATGAACAATGGATGCTACTCATTCGGAAGTTTCTTCTTCCTCCGGACAATTCCGTTGTGCTTCTTCATGAAAACCTGCAACGCTATTTTATTTATGTTTATTCGTACGTTTGATTTTGTACATACATGGCAGTGGATTGCATCTCCTTTTGTTGCAATTAAGTGTATGGTTGCTTTCGATGAATCTTGCGCTATTGAATTAACTTTTCTAAGGCTTCTTTGGAGATTTTGAACAGAACATGGAAAAAAATGGAAAAGAAAGAAATCACTTTTTAAGGATATGACTTCTTCCTACAACATAAATGGTTAAGTGGTTTTCACATGTCCGTATATCTCATATTATTATTACATTATGATCGCATATGGGTGACTGCTGATGGCAGCGTTAGGTAGAAAGCTAGTTGAGAGAAATGCAAAGCAAGGGCCATCGTGGTGCTGTGTGTAATATTCGAGCTCGCGGAAAGGGTAACCGTGCTTCCAACCGGCCCGGGACCTAAGTTTTGCGAACGCTGCATATTTCATATTATTATTTGTATCATATTACTTACCTGAATACTTGGACGGCCCGTTCTCATTGGTTGTACGGGCCCCAGCATAATTTTCACTTTTTCGGAGTTTTGTTAATTTAGCCACTGTGGATTCTTGGAGTCTCGAAGTTAGACAGATCAAGGTCTGCCCCAAGTCGTCACTACCGCAGGCAGTCGTCGCTCTTGTGCATCACAGGAAGGTTTGCTCCTATGCGACTTTGATACCAGGACGGTGGTGGATTCTGGCAATGGTTTACTCTTATCTAGGCTTCCTGATGGAAGCTGCGGACTCCTTGTCAGCTTAGGAGACCCTGCCAGGGGATGAATCGCCACGCCGTACATCGCAGCACGACATCCAGGAACACCTCCCAACCACGATGAGGCGGTAAACTGTTGGGAGGTTACATACATACATATATATATATATATATATATATATATATACGTATATATCATATTTATTATATTCACATTAATATTATTATTTCACACTATTGTGTTAATATTCCATATTATTATTCACATTTCATGTATTTCATATGTATATTCATGTATATATTCATGTATATATTGTATATATATATATATATCCATTTATCGTTTCTCTTAATTCATAAAGTAGAGCCGGTCATTTCTTCTCCTTATTTAGAATGGAGCCGTAGATTGGAACTTAATGCTGTTACTATTATTCATAGAAAGTTGATTTTACGAATTATTACAAGGAGATCCCGAGCCTGTTTGGTGACTTTTCAATGAAAACGAACGGCCTAAACAAAAGGCGACGAACGCCAAAAGCTTTTCTCACAGAAGATTCGTAAATTGACCAACAAAAAATTAAAAATGGCGAAAACATCTCTGAATGCCATTTTCTTTTGCACCATGCCTTTTCACAAAAATTCTGGCTTCAAGAAGTTGAATGCCGCGATGGACCATAGAATCTCCGAATAGTTCATGAGGAATCTATTAGCTTCCTACCAGAAGGTGCGTTCTTGCACATCGAAGTAGTACAGTCTTTGCGTGCATTAACTGATCAAAACTTCATAGAACAATTTTTTGCTCTCAGAGAGAATGTTGGGTTCTTTGTCACGAAATAGGACGGAAAGGTCTAAACGATGTGGTCAATGATACTTAAGAAAAGCCCAATCTTCGTGAGTCCATAACACCTGTAAATTGTCGTCACGATT